TGGTGGAATGCGGACTGTGCTCGGGCTGTCCGCTGTAAGCGTGCAGCCTGGAAGAGGCACCGCCGTAGGCAGACGACCGATTCTTTTCTTTTCTTTCGGAAAGCGAGTGCGGTGGCCCGTAGGGCCATCCGTATGGCTAAACGTGAATGTTGGGCATCTTATGTCTCAACAATTACGTCCGAGACCCCTCTGGCCCAGATCTGGAAGCGTATCCGCAAGATAGCGGGTAAGTTCGTTCCCGATGTTTCACCGGTCCTTCACCTCCATGATACTCTTGTGGCGGACCCGTTGCAGGTCGCTTCCGAACTGGGTTCCCACTTTTCTTCTGTTAGCTCTGGTCTTCATCTTCCCCAATCTTTCCTTCTTCGTAAACCTGTCCTTGAGTCTCGTCCTTTAGATTTCTGCACTCATCTTCAGCTTCCCTATAATGATCCCTTCTCTCTCTCTGAACTTCGTTCTGCCCTGGCCCTCTGCGGTTCTACGGCGGCGGGCTCCGATGGTATTCATTATGAGATGCTTCGCCATCTCCCTCCGAGCACATCTCAGTATTTACTGAGTCTGTATAATCGGATCTGGGAGTCGTCGTCAGTCCCTGAGGACTGGCTCGATGCCGTTGTCCTCCCTGTTCGCAAACCGGGGTCTCTGGGTACTTCCCCTAAGGACTTTCGCCCTATTGCTCTCACAAGTTGTGTTTGCAAACTCTTTGAACGTATGGTTCACGTTCGTCTGATGTGGTTCCTGGAACACCATCACCTCCTCTCCCCTTCTCAATTTGGTTTCTGCAAGTGCCGCAGCACGACGGATGTCCTGGTGAACTTGGAGGTCTATATTCGTACTGCTTTTGCTGCGAAGACCTCCGTTGTTGCCGTCCTTTTTGACCTAGAAAAGGCTTACGACACCACTTGGCGTTATCATATCCTATCTCAACTTCATTCTTTTGGCCTTCGTGGTCATCTCCCTCTCTTTCTCCGCAGCTTCCTCTCTCGTCGTTCCTTTCGGGTGCGCCTTGGTACCGCTCTCTCTCCCTCTTTTCAGCAATACGAAGGTGTGCCCCAGGGTAGTGTTCTGAGCACTACTCTTTTTCTTGTTGCCCTCAATGGTCTTCTTTCCTCTCTTCCTTCTGGTGTCTTCTCCGCTCTCTATGTCGATGATCTTACCCTTTGTTGTCAGGGTGATGATTCGCCTCTCCTTCAACGCTGGCTTCAACTTGCAATTGATGCCGTGTCGTCTTGGGCCACAGGTCATGGCTTCAAGTTCTCTACTTCTAAGACTTGTGCCATGACTTTTACGCGGAAACGGGTTGTTCTTCGTCCCTCTTTGTCACTTTATGGTCATCCCCTTGAATACAAAGATTCCGCGAAGCTTTTGGGGTTATTCCTTGACACTCGTTTGTCTTCGTCTCCCCATATCTCTTACCTCCGTGTTGAGTGCTCTAAGGCCCTTACCCTCCTTCGGGTCTTGTCCCATACTTCTTGGGGGGCAGATAGGCGCACTCTCCTTGCTTTACATTCCTCTCTCGTCCTGTCTAAGCTCGATTATGGTTGCCCTGCTTACTCGTCTGCTTCTCCTTCTACTCTTCGCCGTCTTGATGCTTTGCACCATACTGGGTTGCGCCTCAGTTCTGGTGCCTTTCGGTCGACTCCCATCCTTAGCTTATATGTTGACACTGGCTTCCTGTCTCTCCAGGACCGCCGTGATCGCTACTGTCTTCGCTATCTTGCGCGGTCCTTGCAACATCCTTCCTCTCGCCTCTGTCGTGCTTTAACTTTTACCCCTCCTGCGGTTCCTGTTCCTCTTCACCACCTCCCTCTTTCTGTCCGGTTATCTCGCCTACAGGATTCTCTCTCCGTTCGTATTTCTGATGTTTCTCCTCGTGTTGTTCCTTCTTTGCCCCCGTGGAGGGTCCCTCTTCCGCGATTTTGTACTTCCTTGACCCGTATCACTAAAGCTTTTACCCCTCCTACGGTTCTAAAACGCCTTTTCCTCGAGCATTTTTCTTCTCACTCCCGCTCCGTTTCTGTCTTCACCGATGGGTCTAAGTCAGCGGACGGTGTTGGCTACTCTGTTGTTTTTCCTGATCGCACTTATATGTGTCGCTTGCCTCCGGAGACTAGCATCTTTACAGCGGAACTTTATGCTATTCTCTATGCTCTTCGTCTCCTGCTTTCTCGTTGTCAGTCTTCCTTTGTGGTTGTTGTCGACTCTCGTAGTGCCCTCATGGCTCTCGGGTCCTTTAATCCGGTTCATCCAGTAGTTGTCGAGATCCAGCATTGGCTGTTTCTCGTTCACAGTAAATTTAAGTCGGTTGAGTTCTGTTGGGTTCCCAGCCATATTGGTGTGTCTTTAAATGAGCGTGCGGATGCTGCCGCTAAGGAAGCTGTCCGCTCTTGTCCCATCTCTCGTAAAGGCATTCCGTATTCCGACTTTTACCCGGTTATCCATTCCTCAGTCCTTACCCGTTGGCAGGCTTCTTGGTTGTCTGTTACTGGTAACAAGCTACATACTCTTAAATGTTGTGTTTCCTCGTGGCCGTCCTCCTTCCACCGTAACCGGCGGTGGGAAACAGCTCTGGCGAGGTTGCGTATTGGCCATACTCGCTTAACCCATGGTCACTTGATGGAGCGCCGCCCTGCTCCTTATTGTCCTAGTTGCATTGTCCCTCTTACGGTCGTGCATGTCCTTCTTGAATGTCCTGACTTCCAGGACGAGCGTGTGTCTTGCTTTCCGACCACCCCTCGCGATCACCTGTCCCTCGATAGAATTCTTGGTGACTCGGATACTTTTGATATCGTTCGCCTTATGCGTTTTTGTTCTCGTATTGGCATCCTTGGTGATATTTAGCGCCCTCTGATTATTTTGCGTATTTGATGGTGCTACATAGCCTTCCCGGTTTGGTGCCTTCTTTTGATAATTACTTACTTACTTAATGTTAATAAATGCCATGTTATGGAATGTGGAATAGGAGAACATAGACCCTACACAACCTATATATTATGTGAGAAATCTTTAAAGAATTCTGATAAAGAAAGATCTAGGGGTGGTTCTAGATAGAAAACTAGCACCTGAGGACCACATAAAGAGTATTGTGCGAGGAGCCTATGCCACACTTTCTAACTTCAGAATTGCTTTTAAATACATGGATGGCGATATACTAAAGAAATTGTTCACGACTTTTGTTAGGCCAAAGCTAGAATATGCAGCGGTTGTGTGGTGCCCATATCTTAAGAAGCACATCAACAAACTGGAAAAGGTGCAAAGACATGCTACTAAGTGGCTCCCAGAACTGAAGGGCAAGAGCTACGAAGAGAGGTTAGAGGCATTAAATATGCCAAAACTGGAAGACAGAAGAAAGAGGTGATATGATCACTACATACAAAATAATAACAGGAATTGATAAAATCGATAGGGAAGATTTCCTGAGACCTGGAACTTTAAGAACAAGAGGTCATAGATATAAACTTGCTAAACACAGATGCCGAAGAAATATAAGAAAATTCACTTTCGCAAACAGAGTGGTAGACGGTTGGAACAAGTTAGGTGAGAAGGTGGTGGAGGCCAAGACCGTCAGTAGTTTCAAAGCGTTATATGACAAAGAGTGCTGGGAAGATGGGACACCACGAGCGTAGCTCTCATCCTGTAGCTACACTTAGGTAATTACACTTAGGTAATTACATCAAACGCCTGCCACCCCAACACACGGGGCGCGCGCAAATACAGGTAAGAAAGAACACCAAACACCCACAACCGCACACAACCACAGCACAAACACCCATACAGAACAAGGCATTGCATAAAACAAACCGCAAATACAACAAAATAGGCCACGCAGAAGCCAAAAACAAACACCCACACCACACACACGCACAGACATAAACGCCCAACAGTACACGCAGGCACTGGGGAAACAACACACACAACATAGACAGAAACCAACCACACGGATCACTCATACTTCTCTGGGTATTCCCGAGCCGGAAACCGTAGGCAGTAAGCATCCCAAACAAGTTGGTTCGTTTCAGGAATCGCACGTCCAGGAGTCGCAGTAGGCCAAGGCATGAAATCCGGCATACCAATGATGAAACACCTCACCCGCGGAACCAAGATGGTAGAATGGCACCAGGGTACAGGACGCACTCGGTCATCCGATTCAACACACATATTTGAACCAGAATCGTCGACCATCTCACCGGACGGGAGGATGATAGGGAAGGGTTTCTTGCGAGGAAGTCGGTTACAGGGCCGCACCCCAAGCTGCACAGCAGGCTGCACGTCTGGCCGTCCACTAGGGCCCTCACTACGGTCTACGCCGAGTCCCGCGGAGGGCGGCACCACAGGCGCCCCAGAGTCAACACCAACCGGAAGAGGAGCAGGGGCCCCCCGTCGCACATCCTTCAACAACACCACAACGAGGTCGCGGTCACCAGGGGCAACCGCCCACTGAGGAGAGCCACCAGCAGGGGGCACAGTGTCCAACACAGAAGGCACCACAGGAAGCAACACAGCGTCGTCCACAGCAGCATCTTCCATCGCATCACCCTCCTCTGCCCACGTCCGGTGAGGTGACACAGCCCGAGCCGAACGACGGTGCTTAAAAAGAGGCCTCTGATCGTCGGAGCTGTCACCCCCAGCAAGCGGTGCTCCAGAAGAACTAACGGCAGGCGGCCCCAAAGCTGGGGCAGCACGATCACGCAGAACAGCAGCCTCAACAACACGGGGCAAACAGCCATTACTATTTAAGGAGACCGGAATCGGAGAAGGAAGAGACACAGCAGGTGAAAGGCTAGACTCCAGCCTAGCCTAGCCATGTGAGGTATCCAGCGAGGACGTCGGAACCGGCGCAGGAGAAGAGACACGTGGGAACGAGGAAATTAATAGAGGTGACGAGGCAGATGGGGGGGGGGGGAGGGGAGTCTCACACACCACCACCCCGACAGCCCCGGGAAGCACGTCCGTCTGCAGGAGAAGCAGGCACCACCCCAACAGCACCATCCAGTGCCTCCATGGAAGCAACCGGCTGCGGATGCACCTCCGCAACCACCGACCGTCGAAGATCCGAAGCAGGTGCCCCCAGGTCCTCAGAGCGCACTGGTGGGGCAGACACACCAGGGCCAGACGGAACGCCTCCCGGAACCGCCGCAGGAACCGCACCAGGACAGAGCGAGGATCCGCCGGGGACCCCTCACTCACAGACAAGCAGGGAAAGTCATCTTCCAGGAAAACTGAAGAAGCTTCAGCACGAGGAGCGTCGCAGCTGGTCGCCACGTGGCCCTCAGCGCCACACCGGAAACAGGTTCGTGTCTGACCCCTGATAGAATATCTGCAGAGAGCCCACGAAACGAAACCCTGGAAGGAATGGGGCGCATGACCCGCATGACGAGCGTACGAGCGCCCAGCCGGCCCGCACTCAAAGTGGTGAACCGGTGCTTCACCACCACACGATACTGCGTAAACACAGACATAAGCTCTGCCTCGGGGAAGGTCACCGGCACACCGTGAACACTCACAAATGTCAAGGGCCCCCAGGGATCTGAGATCTCCACAGTCACAGCCGAAGCAGGAATAGGAAGCGAGCGTGCATCCCAGCGTGTCACAAACTCCGGGTAAAGCAGCGACGTGGCAAACGACACCGCCACACGGGTAGGGGTAGGCGAGAGCTTTTCCAGCCCCAGCAGATCAGAGACGTCGACATGAAGCACGTCCAAGAGCGCAATCTCCACAATGGGCCAGTCCACAGCACCAGAAAAATCCAGTCTCACAGTATCTACCCGCCGAACACGGTTATCACTAGTAACAGCCATATCGCCAGCCGGATGCCCGGCTAGCGGGCTCACCACACCTCAAACTGCACCCGCCCCCTCGCAACACCAGGCAGCAGCTGGCAAGTCAGGCGAGCACCGTCCTAACCCCCTAGCAGCCAACGAGGCAATCAACCATGTTTCCAGTATATTCGTTCACGAATTCGGCAATTATTCAATTTTTAAGGTTATATTGGACTTGTATTTAAGAAGTAAGAAATTCTTAATTTAAATCCTTTTCGTTATTATTGCGATACCAGTCAACTTCGAGTTTCAAATATATTTAGTAGATAATTACATTTTATCAAGTTCATTCTAGTATTTTCGGACATCTAATAATTTAATGTAAACTATTATTTTTGTTTATATTTGGGCACGTATTTATTCAAACGTTGTATACAGTGTTTTGTTTCACAGTGATAATTGGTAGTCAACTCCGGTTGCGTAATTCTATCTCTCTACGTATTAATTTACGAATTAGAGAGGAGGCAAACAAGTCACAAAAATTTCATTCATTGGCGGAGCTGTATCAGCAAGATTCTGCCGCCGGCATCTGTCATCACCGTGTCGACAGGTGAGGTGATTTGTGGTTTTCACTGGGGCTGTGGAACGAGGTTAAAGAGTTAAACGAAGGGTAGTTCCGGTCTAAATGCTCAAGGGTTTTAACGTAAAAGGTTCGGGGATATCTTGATAGATTATTGAGCGAGTGTTTAATTGTTGAGATCGAGGTTGTGTAAAAATTTCACGGCAATAGCTTGTCGTGATGAGAACATTTGCCTACTGCACCAAGTAAGGGTAGGTTTGCGTGGATTAGCGAGGGACTTGCATGTTGTAGGTGCATGTTTCTCGGAAGTAAAGGTATGGTGGAGACGAGACTACCGTGGGGGCGCCATCGACAGACCCCCAACTGGTGGGGGCGGTGCAGGCGTTAGCCCTTGATGAGGGAACCCAAGAGGGCCTCACGGGGAGAGAAGCAGACCCCACGGGGGGACAAGCACACCCCACGGCGAGACAAGCAAAGCCCACGGCGAGACAAGCAGACCCCACGGCGAGACAAGCACACCCCACGGCGAGACAAGCACACCCCACGGCGAGACAAGCACACCCCACGGCGAGACAAGCAGACCCCACGGCGAGACAAGCAGACCCCACGGCGAGACAAGCAGACCCCACGGCGAGACAAGCACACCCCACGGCGAGACAAGCACACCCCACGGCGAGACAAGCAGACCCCACGGCGAGACAAGCAGACCCCACGGCGAGACAAGCAAACCCCACGGCGAGACAAGCAGACCCCACGGCGAGACAAGCAAACCCCACGGCGAGACAAGCAGACCCCACGGCGAGACAAGCACACCCCACGGCGAGACAAGCAAAGCCCACGGCGAGACAAGCAAAGCCCACGGCGAGACAAGCAGACCCCACGGCGAGACAAGCAAAGCCCACGGCGAGACAAGCACACCCCACGGCGAGACAAGCAAAGCCCACGGCGAGACAAGCACACCCCACGGCGAGACAAGCAGACCCCACGGCGAGACAAGCACACCCCACGGCGAGACAAGCAAAGCCCACGGCGAGACAAGCACACCCCACGGCGAGACAAGCACACCCCACGGCGAGACAAGCAAACCCCACGGCGAGACAAGCAGACCCCACGGCGAGACAAGCACACCCCACGGCGAGACAAGCAGACCCCACGGCGAGACAAGCAGACCCCACGGCGAGACAAGCAAAGCCCACGGCGAGACAAGCAAACCCCACGGCGAGACAAGCAGACCCCACGGCGAGACAAGCAGACCCCACGGCGAGACAAGCACACCCCACGGCGAGACAAGCACACCCCACGGCGAGACAAGCAGACCCCACGGCGAGACAAGCAGACCCCACGGCGAGACAAGCAAAGCCCACGGCGAGACAAGCACACTTCACGGCGAGACAAGCACACCCCACGGCGAGACAAGCAAAGCCCACGGCGAGACAAGCACACTTCACGGCGAGACAAGCAGACCCCACGGCGAGACAAGCAAAGCCCACGGCGAGACAAGCAGACCCCACGGCGAGACAAGCAAAGCCCACGGCGAGACAAGCACACCCCACGGCGAGACAAGCACACCCCACGGCGAGACAAGCACACCCCACGGCGAGACAAGCAGACCCCACGGCGAGACAAGCAAAGCCCACGGCGAGACTAGCACACCCCACGGCGAGACAAGCAAAGCCCACGGCGAGACAAGCAAAGCCCACGGCGAGACAAGCAAAGCCCACGGCGAGACAAGCAAACCCCACGGCGAGACAAGCAAAGCCCACGGCGAGACAAGCAAAGCCCACGGCGAGACAAGCAAAGCCCACGGCGAGACAAGCAAACCCCACGGCGAGACAAGCAGACCCCACGGCGAGACAAGCAGACCCCACGGCGAGACAAGCAGACCCCATGGGGGGACAAGCAGACCCCATGGGAGGGCAAGGTGACCCTTTCAGGAGCCCAGGTAACGCCGAGACGGGAGAAACGGATCCGGGTGCCCAGGGGGCAGCGGCCCTGGATGATAGCAGGATTTCGTTGGGGGGCTCTCGCTCAACGGATATCACGATGATTGGTGGGGCCATAGGGAGTGATGGGGTTGTGGACCCCCCAATAGAACATCCACCCCAGTCCAACAAGGGACACCAGGGGATAGTGCCACTGCGAGACCCCAGGGATTGGTGCATTCTGGTCCAACGAACACGTTACCCAACTCCACTCTCACAATCATCACAATTAACACAATCACCACCGTACCAACAACCACCATACTACCCACAGCAACCATAACACTACCCACCATACTACCCACCACACTACCCATCTTACTACCCACCACAACAACCACCACCACACCCACAACAGCCACCACACTCACAACAACCACCACAACAGCCACCACACTCACAACAACCACCACAACAACCACCGCATTCATAACAACCACCACAACAACCACCGCATTCATAACAACCACCACAACAACCACCGCACTCATAACAACCACCACAACAGCCACCGCAACAACAACCACAACAATCACCACAACACCCACCACAACACCCACCACACTACCCACAACACTACTCCCCCATCATACTACCCACCACACTACCAGCCACAACCACCTTACTACCCACCACACCAACAACATCCACCACACTATCAACAACACTATCAACCACATGCTCTGCCATATCAGATCCCTGCTAGTACTAGTCCCTCCCCAGGAGCATCCCCTGCCCCACCAACTAGTCTTCCCCCGCCACAATTCCAATCCCAACGTTCCTCCTCCCAACCTAACCTATACCCCTTTAATCCCCAGACCCCCACCCAACCCTTTACAACCCCTTCCCCGATGTACCCCTCTTCCCAGGATATGATATAACATTCTTATTATCATATTATAGTCAGAACAAGTGAAATGATTCATTATATTAGCTCATAACGACGTGGGGAGAGAAATTCTTTAAATATGAATATTTTACAAAAGATACAATGGATACTCTTAAAAGATAAGAATAATAAAGTAAGACACATAATAAAGGTGCAGGATAATTTAAAAATATGTCAAAGAATAAGGAGAGCAAAGGGAGTGTAGGAAGTTTATTATGTCAGTATTATACTTGCTTAATATTCTCATTAGCTTATGTGCATATAGTGAGATGGGTTTGTTAATCCTAGGTAACCTATCTCTAAGTTATCACATTTCTCAAGTGAACAACTAATTACGGTTAATACTTTCCCAACCAGATAGATGATGGTCAGGTGAGGCGAAGGCCTTTAATATAAGCATCGACAGCACATCATTTATGTCTCTTAGGTGGCTTAATGTTTATCAATCATCATCATTCAGGGAAAAACATAAACACCCACACAGTGATCCAGCCGTGGTCGAAGAAAGGTGCGTTGGCGCGCCCTAGAACGTTGTGAACTTGTAAACAAATGACTTAAACCAGTGATGGAGGGTGAAGAAGGAGAATCCAGGCCTTTTCAGGTAGCAATGACCAGGAGAAGCAAATGGAAAGCGGTGCACAGAGATTTAAGTGATACTGACAGTGATGAACAACCGAAGAAGTGTAGTGATCGACGGCAGACGGAACCTCTACCGATTAGCATTCCAACTACACAGATAAAATTTGCACTGCCAGTCTTCAAGATGCAGCATGCTGAAGGTAAGACCTCGTACCCCACAGTAGTGAACCTTGAAAAAGAGTATCTCCAGCTCAAGATCAGTGCAAAGCCAAACCTCAGAGGCGAATATATTCTGAGGCCCAAAGGCAAGACAGCTTGAACGATTCTTAATAGTTACAGGAAATGCAACGAACTCAAGCCAGAGGACAAAATAAGGAAAATCTTTGTCCTCCACTATCCCTGGCACATGGTCTTAACTCATTTAGAAAAGCTGAATTATGTGGTGTCAGGAGAAAGATGCCAGGTAAAACTCACGATGTAGAAAACCTGAAAAGTCATTCTCACAGTAAGGGGCGTTTCCAACACAGGCCTTACACCCCAGAGCCCCTCCAATGCTTCAGATGTCAGAGATTTAGACATCACAATGACGGCTACCAACTTCCAGTGAGATGTGGAGTCTACAGCCTGCCCCATGACACGAAAATTTGTCTTGATAAACATGAGGTATATCAGCCCGTCCAAGCTAAGTGGCCAAATTGCTCCAAAGCACACCACCCCTGGAACTTAAGATGCCCTGAAAGGCTTAAAAGGAACCATACGAATCTCCCCACGCCCACAGCAGAGCACAAGCCCCAACTAAAATATACACCAGCTCGCCTGCCCACAAAAACAGCGTGGAGCTTACCAAGACTAAACCAGATGGAGGGGGCACATAACCCTCTACCATCGGCCATGGTGGAGGGCGTGATGTCCTCAGTCCAGGACAGAGGGATGGCTGGGGCCACAAGGAAATAAGTCAACGTAATCGTCCGCCCATTGCGTCCAGTAAGCACACTGGGAGCAATGATGGCAAGAATGTCCAAGTTTCCACTGATAAGGGCCAAAGAGTAAACAGGCCCCAAACCAGCACGGAAGTAGGTAGTGCTCCCACACAACTGGACACCCTCTGGCCAATGCCTTGATCACGGAATTGGTCGAAAGTTTGCTGTTGAAACACGGTATCTTGTAAACCAAAGAGACTCGAAAGAAAATTGAGCAAAAGCTCAAGAAAGTCGAAAAACAATATCCCCACCTCCAAGAAGGGCAGGAAACACTCTCCAAAAAAATAGGTAGCGTCCAGTACTTTTGAAAACAAACTTGATGAGTCATTTTCAAGTACGCCAAGATCCTCAACTCCAATTTCACCTTCCATGGGGAGTTCATCTGACTCCATGGATACCACGGTAATATCAGTAAGTTACAACAACCTAGAGGACTAAAGAGCCTGCAAAGGAATGCACAAGGGCTGCGCACAAAATTGCAACACTTGCAATGCATAGCAGCAACCAAAGGGATAGACATCCTGATATTACAGGAGAGCTTCCTTCGAGTCGGATTAGAACCTAAAATCTCAGGTTATCGAGGCTCCTTCCTTCCATGGGTGAACGGGCAATCCAAGGGATGTGTAATCCATGTAAAATGTGACCTGATCCCAAGCCAATAACCAGCCCACCCGATTGTGGGCCAGGGACAAAGGTGATGGGAGTAACCATTGAGCTAAGGCACGACAAACTTGACTTGTTTAATGTTAACAGGTCTCCGCATGCTGAAATGGATCTCTCAGTGTTATGAGGACATGCGACTACCCCAAACACAATAATTTGTGGTGATTTCAATGCCCATCATCGTTTGGCACTGGGCTCGAACACAACAAATGAGGCTGGCACTCACATAGTACATCTACTAGACCAGCTACCAGACATCCAAATTCTACACAAGAAAGAACCCACCAACATCCAAGGAGGCAGATTAGACCTTACCTTCGTTTCAGCTTCACTAAGAGATGCAGCAACATGGTCAGTTGAGCCCACACTCACGAGCGACCACTATGCGTTCCAAATTGATCTAAAGTTGGATCTACCCACCCTCACCTCAACCTCTCTCTGAAGCCTAGAACTTCGCTTTAGCAAAATGGGATCGATTTCAAAACCTCATTTCAGAGTGGCATAGAAACTATAACGTTCCCGATGACATTAATCAGGCAGAACTAGATTTTGTCAAAGCGATTAAAAGTGCAGCTTACCACTCAATCCCACTGAAAAAGCAGTTCACCAGACACCACAAAGATCACTGGTACTATTGCGAACGTGTCAAAGAACTCAATCATAGACTCAACAGCACAAGGAAGCTACACAAAAAGCAGCCAAGTGACCGCAACAGGACCTTACTTTGTGAGGTCAAAGAACATGTGCATCAAGAGACCAGGCTAATAAAAGAACAAAAGTGGCTGGAATGGTGCTCACATCTGAATAAACACACCTCTCTTGGAGAGATGTGGCAGCAAATCCACCAGGCCAAAGGAAATAAAACACCTAAAGCCCCACACCCTAAGGATCCACAACAGGAAGCCGAAGTACTGGCAACCAGGTTTGCAGAAAGAGCAGCCAGTAGTCAGCTTCCACCAGATGTATTAGCAGTGCAGACAGGATTAGAGGAAGAAAGGTGGCACAGAATCCTTACAGCATGTGCAGAAGTCTCTGACACTAATACCCCTTTCACACTGGATGAGCTGAATCGGGCTAAGAAAAACTCCAAAGATACATCCCCTGGAGACGACAAAATAACCTATACAATGATTAGAAACATCGGCTCAGAGGGAGACGCTGCATATCTTAGGTTAATTAATTTAGTCTGGACTTCTCAAACTAGACCTACAGCTTGGAATAGAGCAGACATAGTGCCGATCCCAAAACCCAAAGATCCAGCTAATCCTAGGCCCATCTCTCCAAAACTGTGCATCCAAGATGGCTGACAGAATGGCACTCAACAGACTGGAGCGGAAAATGCCTAAACTGCACCAGGATATATATGCCTATAGAAGAAGGGTTAGCACAGTGGAATGTATTACAACTCTGTTAGTCCACTTGAATGACAGACCAGGAATGCTGATATTCCTAAACCTCGAGAAAGCCTTTGAACTGGCTAGCACCCCAGCTGTTCTCTGCTGCCTCATCGAGAAAGATGTCAAAGGCAACCTGCTCTCCTGGACCAAAAACTGTCTCATAAACAGAGAAGCAAGAGTAAAACTTCATGGCACAATCTCTGAACACAAAAGACATGAAAATAATACACCGCAAGTATAGGCATTCTCAGCCCTCTTCTCATCAATTGTTTAATAGAAAGAATAATGAGACTGAAACTCCCACAACACTGCAAGATGTTAAACTACTCGGACGACTTTTTTATCATCATGAAAGGAAAGGATGTGGAGCGCCTTGCACCCAAATGCTTAGACTGCATCAGTGAAGAGACAAAGCAGATTGGTATCAAACTGAACCCCTCAAAGACAATAGCCATGCCCATAAAAGTAGTGAAACTCAACTTCCAACTCACAGTACAGGGTCAACCAGCTGAATGGGTGAACACTTATCAGTATCTGGGAATAATCCTGGACACACATAAATTTTTATGCTCTCTCTCACTTGAGAGAGAGAACTGTGGCCCAGACGGCAATCCTCAGGTCGCTATCTCTGGAGGAGCCAATCTGGAAGTCCTTCGCACATACTATGTACAGGCAGTCATATCAGTGATCGACTATGCCGCCCCTGAACTCATAAATCTATCACACCAACATTGGAAAAAGCTTGAAGTTGCCCAAAACAATGTTATGAGTGCTG